GGGATGGATACCTGTCGCCTGCAACATGGAAAATATGATCATCAGCACTACCACAAGATCCTGAGTAATGGAAAAATTAACAGCAACCAAGGATCATTTTTTCTGTTATTTTTTTTCTCTAAAGAACTATTTACATACAAATGTAAAAACTAGCTGCTTTCATCAAAAGTTATTCTCTAGTTGGGCATCTCCAGTTGGCCACACCCCAGGTTCCTCTGCTTAGTATGAAAGCGTGCGTTAATTTACATCTTCCTTCTCTGCCCTGCTTCCAACCCCTGCATGTCTCTACAAAGCTGATGTAGGCCAATTCTTCCTGGGAGTAACTCTGGCAATCGATGAAGTCACATTTCAGTCAGCCCAGTGCAAGAAAATGCAGGTCCACAATTTTCACTTGGAAGAAACATTGACGGGAGTTTACCCCATGAAGATGGGGAACAATTTTTAAAGATATTTAGGCACCTAAAGCAGCAAGCAGTCCCTAGAAGGGTTATATAAAACCATAAATTAACCCTTTGGTGCATATCTGCATCCTCAGATGACTCCGTACCTTTTAAGAACACTTGGCTCTACTGATGAGATTCCACTTCCTAAAATACTTAAAAATTGTTGTTTAGAATTAAACTTTAAGTAGCATGGCATGCAAATATAAGCAATTACAATTTCGTCAACACAGGAGCAACTCTGATCTTTAAAAATGGAAGCACAGTAACTTAGGCAAACAGAAATTAGTCTCATTTTTTTTCCATAATTTCTCAGATTAAAGTTATATATTAGCTAAAGTACAGCGTTACTACTATACCCTTAGGCTTCACAGCACATCATGCCACATGTTCATTTGGCTGCTAAAGAGCAGCAACCAAATGATTAGCATTTTTTCAAGGACAGTTGAGATTAATAGTTTGAAGTAATTTCTTTAATTTAACCATGAAATTTGAACATTGAAATTAGAGTCAACGTTAATGACATTTTATTTCAGAAAACACTAAGTAAGTTAGTCCTTGAGCACTGATCATAAGACAGATAGAGTCCTCACTGTTACCCTTCTTTTCCGTCATTGGAAACAAACCCCAACTATTACACAACTTGATAACAGCACCGCTTTAAACGAGTGCACGTACATAACTTCAGACAACACTTGTCCCTGCAAAGGCCCAGAAGCTGGGAGTGAAACCATCACCCCACTGAAATCCATAGGTGGGTTTTGGAGATTTTTATGATACCGAGCAGGTTCTATTTGTTCAGCAGAGGTTTCCAGCACGGATGCAGGAAGGACAAGTGAACAACACGATGTCTCTGGGCTAGACTCACAGTTGTTCCTCACTGCTCTGACCAAGACATCCATTTTCTGAATAATATGAAAAAAACCCTTTCATCCCCATTTCCTAGACAAAAAGGAGACGAGATAGGGGATGAGAGAGCAGTAATACAAATCTTAACTCATACACACAGGCAAAAATCTTTCTTCCTCGTTCTTACAAGCAGAACAATGTCCCCAGCCTGAATACAGGCTTTTTAGACATTGCAAACACCCCAATATGACTGACGGGATTCCAGTTACCCTCAAACTGTGCTCCTTTCTTTTTTGGATATACTGAAATCCTTTCCTTCCGTGATGCCTCCTCCTCCCTCCCCAACTCAGGAAGTCTCTTACTCTGGCTGCTAGAGCAGACAGCTCCTGTGACTACTTGAAGACTTTTGAAAGCTGTGTCCTGGCTCTGTTAACCACAAATCAGCTCCTGTAAACCTGCTAATGGACAGCAAAGCTCTCCCTTGAGTTTTCCCCCCAGAAGCGCACCAGCAAGCTCAGCTCTTACAGCCTGGGAAGGCTCACTTGACATTCTTTATCTGCAAGGACTCCATTAGCAACTTCCCCTAACGTAAAGCATATTTTAAAAAGGCACTGAAAATAAGGGATAATTAAAATGTAAGAAGTGTCATCTTCATAAAAGACACAGGACTAAATAAAGTCTTGGAGGGCCCTCTCCTGTACGTTCCGTATTTCTCTACGTGCACAACGCACCTTCATCTGTAAAATCTTTAATAAACAGAGACCGTCTTCTCTGTACCTTTAAAAATATCTGAAGTAGCATTTGATGAGTTCATAGGGAAAAGCTCCTAGTGTATTTTTTTCCTCCAAGCAGAAGACAGTTACATGCAAAATTAACTCTAAACTGAGAACGATGAAGACTCAAAATCTAAAACCCATTTACAGACAGTTACCAGGTCAGCGACAATTCGATCCATTACCAGACCCAATCTAGATTTAAGAAAATTATTCTCATTTATGCATCTATCCCAAGAAAATGCTAACAACTGTCACTCCTTAGAGGACAGAATTGTCACAGCAACAGCTAAGAACTGCCCAAACGTGTACTTTTTCCTTTATAAAAAAATATTTATCCTCTCTTGGCAAAGCACTGAGAAACTATATAGTAAGGATATCACAGTAATGTTAATATTTATGTCTTACTGATTTTTGGTACTGTGAATTTAGATTAATGAGCAAACAGATCCCATGGAAACAACCTCTCTTACCTTGTCTTAGTTTGATTTATTAAGCAATGCAATTACCAGTGACAAGCCCGCAGAGAAATGCACTAAACTTAACACTTCAGAAAGAGCAAAACCTTACCCCCATATGTTTTGTGCAAGAATGACTCCTTCCTCTTATTGCAACCAAAGGAACAGCAAAAAAAAAAAAAAATCTACTTGAACAGTGAAAACCTATGACAATCCTCCTAACAAAGGAATATAGAAAAGACTTATTTTCTGCATGGCTCATTTATCATTGCTGAACAAAGAAAAAATAGCCTTTATTTTTCCTCACAAAGTAAAGTGATTTGCAGGGGAGAAATTAAATAGTGACCTCTCTTTCATTTAAAGAGCGCTAGATATGAAGCGGAGGGAAGAAAGATGCTTGTGAATTAACACATAGCGTAACAAACACCTTAATTCTCTAATCCTCTCTCTAGAAAACGCTATTAAAAGGTACCGAAGCATTTGTGGTAGATACTAAATGGTTAATATCTGGCCAGGATTCCCCCTCCAACACAAATTCCAATGATTTGCCATTGGATGTTTTCAGCACCAATGTCCTGTTATAGTCCACTGAGATCCTCCCTGCAGCTTTCCTGCCTCGGGCATCTCTGATGTACCGGATCAGAGTCTGGAGCGTCCCTGTTTATCATGATGTTGCACTTACCACCCCCTTGCACGCACGCACACACACCCACCCACCAGCTATTACCGCTTTTCAGAAGAAGGCATAGAAGAGTAAGCAAGTCACTGAGGTCTAACATGGTAGCTCTGTACGGAGACTGAACGCATAAAAGCCCTTCCGGAAAATAGTTCGCTTTCCAAGCAAACCTTTAGCGATGAACAGCCCTGAAACATTCCTAAGTGTTACACAGCTGGTTTACGGCTTCTAGCGTTAAAGAGTTTACCTACACACAACAAATGCCTATAGACTACTCCTGGCTGCTTGCATTCATCTTTATATTCAAACCATAATGCAAATACTATCTGGTTCAAACACCGCTGATCTAAATCTGCAAGTCGTACAATACTGTCATATTAAACCCACATCATAGCTTGTTTTCCTGAAGCGCTCCTGGAGCCTGCCTTCTAGATGTAATTACTGTACAATATATATCAGAACCAGAGAGAAAGGCTTCACTCTGAGGGCTGAAATTGAGAAGAAATCAATACAAAGAAGATAAATGTTTCTTCAAGAGCTGCAGAGGTATTAACCCTCTCTCCAACTTATTTTCTTTTTGCTTCAAATCATTTTACCATGTGAGAAGCTGCTGGAAGGACTGGGATATGATGAGTCTATCTGCTTATCTCTGTGTTCAGGGTTAGAAAAAAAAAGTATTTTAGGAAAAGAGAAGAGGGGAAAAAAAGTGGAAGTTCCAACAAAGCTTCCAGAATGTGCTGCTTTCTTTTCATACTTGTACACCTGGACGCAGCCGAGGACCCGAGCTGCAGCAGGAACCCACAGAAGGGACAGGAGGAGCCGCGGGGCGAGGACCTCACGGCGGGAGGGGGGGCTCGCCCTGCTCAAGGCCCCTCACATCCCCCCC